TTGAGAACTGGGGTAAGAACCTTGCCGGTCTCCTTGTTGCGGATTTGGTATGGGTAGGGTTGGGAAATTTCGTAAGTGTCATCGGCAACAAGGGTTGCCCAAACTTCCTCTTCTTCGTGTTTCTCTTCTTCCTCTTCTTCCTCTTCCTCTTCTTCGTGTTTTCTTCTTCCTCGACAATTCCTTCGGCAATTCTGTGTTCACGAAGTACGGTGTTGGAGGTTCTGTCCTTTCCGAGTACCTTCCAGATGGCATCTATCTCTTCGAAGAAACGGTAGATGAGTCTGGCAAGGTCTCGGTTCTCTCTCGCGTAAATGCGCAAGGTTTCCGTCAAATCGTTCAGGACTTTCTCATTGGAAGCTTGGTTCATGAGGAAACTCACCTTTAAGTCCCTTCATCTCTTCCATAAGACTACTTTGGAGAGTCTTAACGGTGTTTGTCAGATGAGCTTTCAAATTCAAAATTTGAATTTGAACTGGGCGCTTGTCTGGCAACATTGAAAGGACATCTGCCATTGAGTTTGGCTTCGGTGCTTGTTCGGACATCGAAAAAATGAAGTGGTTTGAGAATGACGGTTTTACTTCAAAAAGCTTGTTATGACGTTATGTCATACAACAAGTTTAAAATAATATCTTGTTCTTCTTCTGAACGTTTGTTGTCTCTTCCGATAAAAGTTTCGAACATGAGAACCAAAAAACGTTTTTTGAGATTGCGGAAGAGTTCAGGCAAACGTTCATATTCTGGATATGTTGGGAGCAGTTCAAAACATCTGAGCTGACTTTCGGACAAAATTGGGACAATGTCAGAAAATTCATCTTTGGTCGGACTGCTTGAAGGTAAGTCCCTTACATGTAAGTAGCTCTGGTAAAGTCTTCTCATTTCTGCTAACTTTTGGAGTATAGCTTCGTAGTTTAGAAGTTTTAATTTTAATTGTCTTATTCCACTCTTTACTTCTAAACGGTAACTATCCATGAGGTCAAGAGTAGCTTTGGTAGCTTTAAGTGGAGCTATCTGTTCCTTGACTTGTGCAATTTTGGTTGCAATTGTGGTTTGAGCTCCTTCAAGTTCGCCGTCTATGTCGTTCTCAACACCTTCAACCATGCTTGAAACTCTTCATCGGTCCATTGAGATTGGTGTGGGACGAATTTAACTTGCTTCATTCAAAAAATGAAAAAAATGTTTTTACTCAAAGCGTGCCATGTATATGGCTATAAGAAACTTACCAGAAGGCTTCTTCTTCACATGAGTCTTTGGCAACTTGAGTGTTGGTGTTGGAGTTGGGTCTGGAATTTCAATTCTCTCTCGAGCGCAACAACAGATGTCAGAATAACATTCCCCACTGTCTTTCTTGCCACCATAAATTGTGTATTGACCGAACTTGCATTTGCAGGAAGACCGGTCAATACAAGGTTCACAGTTGAAATAGTTGTACACAAACCTGTTGAGTACGAGTGTGAGTAAAAACATAAAAAAAAGTGAAGTTAAAATGAGATGTTTACTGAACTGGCTGAAGAATTGGTTGGATGTCGCCTTCTGAGGTTATGAAGAACGGCTGTCCAGAGTAGTGAAGTAGTGCTCTGAGAATTTGTGTAATTCGTGGAATTGGGCTCTCACGATATGGAAGTAGTATCCAAGGACGTTTCATGAAGAACTTCAAGAGGGCTTCTTTCTTCACATCCTTAATATCATCGAATGCAGTGCCTTCTGGAACTTGAATTGCAACACCTGTTTCAATTTCCAACTTTAAGACACTATTCTTGGACAACCAGAAGCCAATGGACTTGCTTGGTTTGCACTTGCTGAGATATTCCTTCACGGTTTCATTTACCTCAATTAGATAAATTGCTTCGTCTAAGGGGTCAAGCTCCATACTGAGTCAGTACAATATTGTACTTTTTCAAGACAATGTTGTACTTTTTCAAGACAATGTTGTACTTTTTCAAGACAATATTGTACTTTTTCAGAACAATGTTGTACTTTTTCAGAACAATGTTGTATAAATTCAGTACAATGTCTCTCAAATTTGAGTACAGCTGTACTTTTTCAGAACAAGTCTTGAACTTTTTCAGAACAATGTTGTACTTTTTCAAGACAATGTTGTACTTTTTCAAGACAATGTTGTACTTTTTCAAGACAATGTTGTACTTTTTCAAGACAATGTTGTACTTTTTCAAGACAATGTTGTACTTTTTCAAGACAATATTATATTGTTTCAGAACAAAGACGGTTAAGACACAAACGAATGTCCGACGTCCCACCTACTGAACCCGTTCCACAGCCAGAGGAACAGCATGCTCCAGCACCACAACAGTCTCCTCAGCAACCTCAGTTCCAACAAGGACCTCCGAATTACTACCAATTTCCACCTCAAGGTTACTACCCACCACAAGGCTTTCCAAACTACCCACCACAAGGCTTTCCAAACTACCCACCTCCAACTACCCTCCTCAACCATGCCTTACTTCCCTAACCCTTGGATGTTCATGTCAAACCCTCCACCCCAATTCCAATCTCAATCCCAATCGAAGAGAGACCAAGAGTTCGAAGAAGGTCTGAACCGTTTACGCAAAGAGTATGCCACAGCCCCTATGGAAGATGACAGGCTTTCAGTCTCTTCCCTAAGGTCGACCAATTCGACTCGTACCACAGATTCGGTTCGTGACCGTGAAGACTACTCAAGCAGTCTGAGAGACTCTTCATCTTACAGCCATTTACAGTTGGAGCTCTCAAGAACATGCGCAATTACGAAGGTCAGACACCAGCTGGAGACCGCAAAACAGACGTACTCGCAAGAGCAGTCCAACTGGTCAAGACAAAGACTGAGATAGTCGACTTCATTCTTGCAGCTTGCCCATACAAGTAAAAAAATAAACAATTACGAGTTAAACTTTTTACTCTTTCTTTTCTGAGTTGTTTAGAGCTGGTTTCTCTTGTAGAAACCTTTCGTACTCTTCCATGGTCATGTAATTGCGAATTTGGTACGCAATTCCAGGTTCGTTGTTTTTGAACCTTACGTATGTAACGCTTCCATCCTCCTCAGGGAAGTAAGCTGCTAACATCTGACCAAGTTTTCTCGGTGACTCGGAGCTCATAAAAATGTCACTTTTTAAACGTTAAGTTTTTAGTCTTATTTTACCCTTTGTTTACCCTTTGTTTGTCAAGGTAGTATTGGAGTGCAATTTCTCCAAATTCTCTGTGTCGGAGTTCTTCAGCATTTTCCAAGGTGTACCTGGAGAACTCAAAGAAGTTGTCAAGAACATACTGCCATGCTGCTCTTCTGAGTTCGTCGGTATTTTGGAAGTGTTGCACCTTCGAGTCTTCGGACATGAAAAAATGACACTTTTTCTATTAAACCGTTTTGGCATTTCTCATGAGTGAGTATAGTTCTCCCGAACCATTGGAAGAGAAGAAGTACCCTTGCTGGCAAAAGACAAAAATAGTTGCCTTAGTTGTCATTGCAATTGTACTCGTAATTGAATTCATTGTACTTCTCTTCACGTACATAAAACTCAAGGACGGCATATGCTTTAAGAAGCTACCATCTTACTAAGACTAAACACTTAGATTTTTCAAGCTTGACTTTTTACAATTTGAATTTTACACCCAAAAATATATTTTAGGGTAGATGGGTATATCTAACCTGTTTTCTAACCTCTTTTCTACCCTCTTGAATTTGTCATGAGTTTTACTCAGAATTCGGCAAAAATATATTTTAGGGTAGATGGGTATATCTAACCTGTTTTCTAACCTCTTTTCTACCCTCTTGAATTTGTCATGAGTTTTCCCGAAATAAAAAATAAAGTTGGTTTTTTATAAAAAATATTTTTTATTTTTATTGTAAGAACATGTTAGCAACAACAGCACCAAACTCTTTAGTCATGAACCCAACTTCAATGTTAGTAGAGATGAAAAGCTTCATTCCTTCTTCATATACTTTCGAAACAACAATCCAGAAGATAAAGCAAGAACTTCTCCAAGGAGATTTAGATTGCACTGCGAAAGATGAAACAAATGAACAGTATCTTTATGAAATGCAGGATATTATTGACCATCTACCTAAACTTCCTGAAATCCAACAACAAAAGCTCACTATTCCAGAATTCGATGAAATAGAAGTCAGACCAACTGACTCAGTTGAAATAAAGAAGTTCATACGAAAGGTTAACTATGAGTTTCTTGGATTTCATTGCAACCACAAAGTCATGGACAAAGATTGCGATATGGTATATAAGAACATCTCTGACATATACAAATCTGGGGAGTTTAAGACCTACGACAACTTTGTTTCGTTAGTTGCAAAATGTGTATGGCAGATAAGAGATAAAGACAGAAGAGGTAAGATATGGAATGAACAGATAAAACCCGCAACTTTTGAGTTAAAGAGAGCAATTGACGCCTTAGTCATACTAGCAGGTAAGATTTCAATGTACAATGCTAAAATGAACCCACAATGTTCAAAATGTAAAGCAGCAATGAGGAAATATAACTACTCCGTCAAAGAGATAGAAAGAATGAGAAACGACTATGCAGATTTAAAGAGGGAGGCAGAAAAGCCAGCAGAAGATAAAATGGACATGTTGACATTTCTGAACAAAAACTATCCAACAGCTGACGATTTCCTTCTATCTGATGTCAAGAAGAAATATAAAGAAACATTCGGCATAGTTAAAACATTCGATGTACTGACAGAAGAAATAGAAGCTACGAAATTGTTTAGAATTTCACGAATTCACAATGTTTACCATGTAAAACGGTTATAAAATAACTGGGGTAGAAAAGAGGGTAGAAAAGAGGGTATATCTAACCTTCTACCCTAAAATATATTTTTGCTGAATTCAGCACAAAATTCTGAGTAAAATAATTTTTAGGGCATGTGTCAAACCGTTGAGTTTTCACAAAATTTTAAAAATAACGTTTACCATGTAAAACGCTTATAAAATAACTGGGGTAGAAAAGAGGGTAGAAAAGAGGGTATATCTAACCTTCTACCCTAAACATTATTTTTATTGACTTTTTACAATTTGAACTTTGTTCGCGTAGATATGAATTCTGAAAGAAGTATGAGGGTCTTGTATGACTTTGTACTTCTCCCATAGTTCATGTCTGTCAAACTTACCTGCCATGGACTCTTTCATAAGTTCCATGAAATCGTCTTCGGACAATCCAGGGAAAAGTATGATATCAGTAAGTATTCTCTTTACATCCTTACTTAAACTCTTTGCTGTCTGTACACAAATGACAACTGAGATGTTAAAGTGTCTGAGCTTCTTAAGAATTCGACACATATCTTGTTCTCTGTTCTTTAACAAAGGATGAGAAGCAAAGTCATCTAAAATAAGAAGACATCTATGAGGGTAAGTCTTCCAATCGTAAGATTGCAATTTCTTCGAAATGTATTCTATCTCTTTCTGTTTGTTTCTGAAGTGTTTCTTCTCTAATATTCTCTGCATTTCCTCATTTGGGTCTTTAAACTTCGAATTTATATACTCATTTATAGCATTGTACTTCAAAACTCTTCTTTGGTACTTCTTTATCCAATCTAACAACTCAGAGTCTTTTATACATACTAACTTAGACTTCTTTATAATATCTTTGAACGAATTGACGGTTTGGTCAAATTGACCAGAAGTACTACAAATGACTACTAACTCATAGAATGGGTTCTTCTCATCTAGTTCTTGTTGTTGTGCAGCCATTTTAAGATAAGTGAAAGTCTTACCCGACCCAGGTGGTGCAATTAGACCTGTTATACCATTCTGAGCAAATAAGAACTTGTCATGTATAGGTTTTATCTGAGCATTTTCTAACTTCCTCTTGTTCTTCTTCAAAACATTCTCAAATTTCTTGTCAATGTCAGCAAACTTTTTTTCTAACATATTTTTAGAAAAATTAAAATTTTTATCTTTTAGAAAATGTCTAGCGATTTCGCTATCTATATTCGAGACAAGCTTTTTGACTCAAAACTCTGTCGACCATAAAATCTTACATAGTGTAAACAAGAAAGGTGAATTTGTTCTAAAGTTCTGTTTCTGGGAATATGACAAGAACCATAAAACATTACAGAGAGTCTTTAAAATTTGTCAATGACAGACTTGTTGACAGAGATGACGCCGATTGGAAAGATGAAGTCCAACAAAAGTTCTTAGAATGCAAAGAAGGCACATGCGCTGTTCTTGAAGATGAAATAGAAAACAGAATAGAAGAGCTATTAAAGGACAAAGAACTTTTACATAAATATGGTTCGAGAAATTTGACATAACTCCACCAGAGAAGAAGAAGAAGAGAGAAAAGAAAGAAAAGAAAGTAGAAGAAGAGAAGAAAGAACCTGAACCAGAGAAAAAGAAATTTGACATGTAAAAATAAAATTTTATTTTTAGAACATTTCTGGGTCAATGTCAATGTTCTCTTCCTCTTTAGGAGCAAACACTGGCTTAGACTCTAAAATCTTTTTACCCAATTTACCTTGAACTTCAACTATCTTAGACTCATAATATTCATAGTCGTCTGCTTTCTTTGGTTCATAAGGTATAACAAGTTTGTATGCTTTGCCTTCTTTAAGGTTTGAGAACCTTCTGTCAAAATTTTCTTTGACTGCTAACAAACCTTCTATGTCTAAGTCTTCAAATTTCGCACCATTTTTAGTCACAATAGCAAACTTAACTGGTTCGATGTTCCAAACTTTGTCAAATGAAGACTTTTCAAAATGGTAGAAGTAAACATTCAAATAAGCGAATGGGTCTAGTTCTTCTTTGACTTCTGTCATGTACTTATTTACTGAAATATATTTCGTCATCTTTTCTATCGGATAAAAAAATATTTTTTTAAAATTTACTCAGAAAAATTTTTCTTTGTATATACGCCGTTCTGAACATCTAAAAGATTTTTGACATTTGCCAAGAATGTTCGTTTAGAAGCTGTCATATAACCATATTCTTGACAATATTGTTTATACGAATCGTACAATGACCTTTCATCTAAACACTCAAAGTCAGTTTCATCTATGAACAGTTCATATACACTCTTGTTTGCTTCTAACAATGTTTGTCTCTCTTCGGTATGTGGAATTTGTCTTGGATTGAACTTAGAAATATCTAATGTCATAAAGTATGAGAACAAGTGGTTGTAAAAGTCAGATGTCAAAGTTTCTGCTAAGTCGTCAAAATATTCTGTATCTTGCATATGAGAATCTGACGTTCTGACAACTACATATCTTCTGTCAGAACTTTCTAACTTCATCGGAACAGCATTGTTTGAAACCATAATGAAGTTTGCAACATTTTCACAAACTCTTTGGTCTTTATATTTTCTTTCAACAACTCCAACTTTGTCTGTTATAAGACTCTTCAAAGCATCTGAGTTCAAAACTTTTGTTGTATCTATACTTTGAAGTTCGTTACATACTATAAGTTTCATATTCTCTATTGAAGAGTTAAATTTACCGCAGATGTTTTCTAAGTTTGTCATATTCGGATTCGAATAGCCCTCTAACAGTTTGCACAAAATATCTGTAAAGAAAGTATTCTTACCTGTTCCTTGTTTTCCAATTATAATGAGAGCAGTTTCATTTTTAGCACTTGGATGTTGTAAGATGTTTGCAAACCAACATAAGATATACTCATAGACTCTTTCGTTTCCATTGCATATAATTTCTTTGACATGGTCTAACCAAGCTTCTATAATATTTTCTTTCCATTCTACTTGTTCGTATTTATATCCAGTGAAGATAGAATAGAAGTTTGGAGAAGGTGTATAGAACTTTATACCACGAACTGAAAAATCTTCTAACTTTGACAATAAGATATCCCAAGCATCTAACATCTTCATGCCAACTTGTACGACTTTTATTTTCTTAAGTTTCTGTCTACATTCTTGTTCTGAAACTATTGTTGCTCTTGGTTTGTTAAAGACAACATCCCATTCTTTCATAACATAACATTCTGGGGCAGAGTCGACATAAATGACTAAACGTTTCAAATTCTCGACTGCTTTGTTATAGTCTCTAAATGGACACATATTTCTGAACGCTTGGAAGTCATAAAAATCTGAAACGTCTATTCTGTACATTTTTATAAAAATAAAAAAAATATTTTTTTTATTCTTGACTTTGTTGTTGCATTTGTTCCATTTGTTGCATTTGTTGTTCTTGAGCTATTTGTTGTTGAAGTTGTTCTTGTAATACAATACTTTCACCAGTTGCATCTTCCAATTCGAAACTTTCTGCCGTCATTGACAAATACATAGGACATAAAAGTTTTACAGGAACAAAGTTTGCGTCAACTAAGTTAAGTTTATTTGCTAAAGTGTTTGAGTTCACTAAAGCTGAAAATCTGCATTCGAATGAACAATAGGCAAACCAGCAGAGAAAGTGTTGTTTATACGCATGAGTATCTTTTGGTCATAGTAGTTTCTGTCGACATTCGAATAACACTTTGAACCTAAGTTTGAAACAATATATAAAATAGGTGTACTTAAAGTCAATGGAACAGACATTCCTTGTATGACACCTTTTCCTGTTATAGGAAACTGTTGGTAGTAAAAACCAGATATAAGTTTTGTATTATAGCTCATATCGTTTATAGTAAACTCAGTCGGACATCCAAACATAATGAAACCTGCTCTAGTTGCAGCACATGTTACATCCGTCCTTAAAGTATTAAATAAGTCAACAAAACCTGTTGGTGGTATATCTGAGTAAGTATCTTCAAAGAGTATTTTTTACCATTCACAACAATAAAGTCTTCTGGTGTCAAAAGAGCAAAACAGGCTTTAGTCGTCATTGTGTTTAAGTTAGTTTACAATATCGTCCTTGAGGACTTTGTAAGTTTGTTGTTATAGAATTATATGACTCTGGGTTTTTAGTCGTAATAGTATAAACCATTATGTCTTCTGCCATTTACTTAGCAACTAAATTTTAATGAAATGTTGTGGTCGTCAAATATTTTTATGACGTCTGGGAAACTATATTTTAAGTTCAACGTTTCACCTCCTTTCATAACGTATATCTTGTCAATGACATTATATGAAACACCACAGCAAGCAATGTCGGGTTCTATTTCTTTGATGTTTATATCGTCTGCCTCTGTCAAAAGTTTCAATAGTTCTTTCAAAACTTCATGAGGTGCGATGACATATGAGTTCACTTTTACAGGGTTGTGTTCGACCAAGTTTAACATTATACCTAAAGCTTGACAAATCTTCTCCTGAGTTTGAAGTTTGTCTTTCAGTTGTTGGTAGTCGTTTCGAATATCTGCAACAGAACTTAAGTCTCTGCTAACTTCAGGGTATGTTGGTTGTTCTTTTACAGGAACAATTGTTATACCATCTTGGTCTTCGTATGGTTTCCCCACTTCAACATCTCTTTCTTTGACATTGACAACAACACTTTGACTGTTTGTTTGAGTTGGTGAATTTAACTTCACATCTGCCACCGCCATTAAACCTTTTGAAACACTTACGCTTCTATTTTTCGGAAATGACATTTTACTTAGAATAAAAAGATGGACGTATTTGAGTATCTCTTCGAATTGAAGCAAAACAAGGTTTACACACACAAACAATACAAATACATTGACAGAATAGTTCTTTACACAAACAATGGAAAATGTTATAGAATAGCAGTCTTTGCTGAACCAAAATATTTTCATAAAGCAAAGAAAGTTGGTATAACCGAAATGGTGAAAGTTCTTGAAGCAGACAAAAATATAACAACAAAACTGACCGATATTTCTAAAGGTAAGTTTATAATACAATATTATATCAAAACTGGCGTACTGTCAATATTTGACGGAGAGAAGTCAGTTCAAGAACAACTTACTGACCTGCTGCCAAAATCTGCTCGATGGAAGCTGTCGTTATGCCAATCTGAGGAGCCCCAGCAGGTTTCATCGAACGAATCTTCAAAAGAGCATCTTCCGTGAAAAGTGCTATTGGTTTTGTAAACTTCTTTGCTTTCAATTCATTTGGACCGTCTCTGTCACCAGTATATTGTATTTGAACTGTACCAACAGTTGAAATACCACCCATAAAGTCTTCTGAGTCAGCAAATGGAATGCCAAGCCAAAAGTTTGAACGGTCTCCATTTGTATATTGAGTTTTTGAGCTCCTGTATGGTCCATACTTTCACATATGGCATAATAGAACTTTGCATTTCAGGGTTAATGGTTGTTGTGAAGTTGTTGTTAAAGTTCATAGCATCTAATGTCAAGTTGTATGACCTCATATCCTCAACTGTAGAATATTCTTCTCTTGGATAATATTTGCCATCTATGTTTATATGGTATTTAATACCAGGGTTGTAGAAGCAAGAATAGTCATTTATAGTTCGTCTGAACAGTACAAACATAGTATCTGCATGTTTCATTGCAGTTGTTAAGCAATATCTGTTCTTGCACCTGGGTCAGCACTTTGGTTTCCAACTTCACCTGCAAAGTCTTTGACAGATATTTGGTGTATAGGGAACATAAGTGGAACTGCAATATATTTGGCAGCTAAAGCATTTGAAATATCTGGGTCCAACATATAGACTGCAAGTCTGCTTTCTATTCTCTTGCATTCAAATTTTTCGCATGTGAACTTAACTGGGTCCCAAGCAGTTCCAGCAGCATTGAAATAGTAGTTTACTTCAGTGTTGAGGTTTGAGAAACCAAAGTCTAAGTCAACTTTGTCTTTGCAAAATTCGGCGAATGACGTTTGATTTGCTCCCTTTACGTCTGTAAGAGTGAATGGGTCTTGTGTTGGTGCAATGACTAAGTTATTTTTGCTTGGAGTAAGTTCGATAGAAATTTTTCCTGCCCAGTTTGGCAAGTATCTTAAAAACCTGAAGATGAGGAAAGATGACAAAGGAACTCTAAGTTTCAATTTTACTTTGGTTACTGCTGCTGCAGTTTGTCCAGAAAGGTTAACATAAACTCCTGGAACGTTAGGGTCAAGTCTTCTTATTTTCTCAATAGTTGCATACTGGTCTGTTTGTTCTCTAGCTTGTGGTTGTACTGAGTTTCTCAAAGCGAACCATTCATAGTTTGCCCATGTTACTGTTTGAACTAAGTCAGAGTTAGAATATATCTTATATCCCATGAAAACTTCTGGAGCATATTGGTATCCGACATAGAAAATTCCATTGCAACCTTTCTTGTCAGACAACTTGGCAGAAGGTTTTATTTCAATGTCTTGTTCCACGTATAAGAAAGAGTTGTCAATAGAAATTATATGAAACCTGTCGCAAGCAATATCTACTGTTGTTGAAGAACCTTCTCCAAACTCACCTACGTTTCCATAAGAAACAGCAGTTGTATATTCGTAAGTTCCAGGAACTATTTCTGACCTTCTAATGGCATTGTCGCATTCGTTATACCATTCGGAAACATTTCCATTCATAGCATCCAAAACTGTTGGCGTTATATTCTGAGCGGCGTACATTTCATATGAGTAAAAATATAGAATAGTTGGATTTATATGTCATAATAGAACCCACGTGACCAAGCTTTACTTTCTTCCTGACTGAGTTTTTAACTCTTCTTTTTCCTTCATTGCCCTCTGCTTGAAGTTGTTGCATCTTTGCATTATGTTCATCTAGTATGTTGCAAATTTCCCATGTCCTTTTTGCCTTTTGGCTCTGGTCGCCCATCTCAGGTAACCTATATCCTAGAAAGAGTTTGTCATAGTCTGTATTTGAGTCTTCGCGTATTGTTTGCATGACTCTTTCCTGAGTTTCCGGTTCAAGCTCTTCAAACAGTGCCTGTCCATATGGAATATGCTCGTTTCCAAATATATGTTTTTGTAGCCATTCTGGTTTTCTTTCCATGTTACCAACTATATCTTTTGTGAATGGGAAAGCTTTACCCAATCTTTCAGTCTTGCGTCGTTTATTTCTGTAGTTGGTTTTATTTTGTCAAGGAACATGTTTTTCAATACTAACATTTCATTTGGTACTGTCCATTTGAGTTTTCTTAAATATTCATCCCTTCTCGGTTCATTGTCTGCAAAGTAAGTTTTTATGACATTTTGTAAACTTTCGTTTGCAAGGTCATGTACAATAGGTTCTCTTCCTTCTCTCTCCCTAACTTTCTTTCTAAACTCTTCACCAAATATACCATCTCTATGGTTCTGTGTAGTTCTTTGAGATAAATGTTCTAGAACGTCAGGTGTTATATTTCCATCAGCCATGTTCATTTCATACTGGTCCAAAATATCTGCATGTTTCATATCTTTCAATGGCATTAAAGCCGCGCTGAAAATACCAGCTATATCTGGTTCACCATTCTTCCATTGCGTCTACAACTTCTTGGAATTGTGGTTGTAAGTTTATGAACCACCTATCCGGGTTAGCTTTATGACCCCATCTCATTGTAGTTCCATCGTCTGCAGAAACAAAAGTAGGTTTGTTTCCATCTTGGTTAGGTTCTGAATGAACTTTAAACAATGTTTCATTTCTATATGTTTTCTTGAAATTTAACCTTTTATCTTCACCGAGTTCATCCGAAGATTGAACGTTAAATGCTCGTAAGTAAAAAGGGTTGTTGTATTTGTGTACATTTTTTTTCAGTTCTTCCATTCTATGCTGAATATTTTCATCTGGTGTTGGAGTCTTTTGTATGTCGGCAAACATTTTTCGATATTCTTCTACTATGTCAGCCGAATCTTTCTTAGACTCTTGGAAAGATTCCATATTCACCTCATGCTCTTGTTGAGGGTCAAGATTTTTCGGCTGTTCCAAATCTTCATCTAGTTCTGTGAAGTTAGTTTCCAAAGGAGTGACTTGTTCGTTTCCTTCAGGCTCTTCTAGCTGTTGTTGCTGAACTATTTCTTCCATGTCTGGTTGTATCTGAACTTTCTTCCTGTGGAGTTTCTTGTACCTCATCTGCTGGCATTTCATATATTCCGAGACCGTTTTTAACAAGTTCCCTATCTAAGTCATCCGGACTCATAAACTTTCTTCTTTCGTTCCGTCTCTATTTTTTACGCGTTTCATGACGAGTTGAATTGTCATTTAGCTCTGACATCAAATATCTCGGAGTAAATTCAGTCATGTCATTTGGATGATATGCTATTAAATCATATCCCTTAGCGAGCTTGTATTTTCCAGGTTTGAAATTATATCCCATTTGGTGCTGAGCCATAAAGCTAAATAGGTTCGGGTCAGTATTTCCATCCTTGAACTTTCTAATAGCTTCTTTATATCTGTCACTAAAGTCAATAGTATCTGGGTAACCATACTCTTCTTAAGCATTTTTAAGAATTCTTGGTTTCCTTGTTCTCTACTTCTTTTATGTCCTTGCTCTGTTTGTGGTTGTTTGTTGTTGTGCAGGGTTTTGAACTGTTGGTTGGTTGTTGTTGTGCTGGTTTTGAACTGTTGGTTGTTGTGTTGGTTGTTGTGTTGGTTGTTGTGTTGGTTTTGGTGGCATGCCTGTGTCTGTGTCCATGTGACGATGTAAATGTTTAGGTAGTCCTGGTGCAGGTGCTTCTCTTGGAGGGTTTGGTGGTATATAATTCAAGTTCCACCAGCTGGCACATATGTTCCATCTGCAGCGTAATGTCCTACCTGACTTTTCGTTCTTAAGAAAGCATTTACTAGGTCTGTTTTGGTCTGTTGTAACTCTTTTTCTTGACTTTTCACAACAGTTGCTCTAACGGCGTCATAGGCACTTTGAACTGCCTGTCTCGTTGCTGCATCTGTTATTTTCGTCATATTTTGTGCTACTTCTTTTAACTCTTTGTCGAAACCTTCAGACTTCAGTTTCTTTCCAGATGAGAAGTCGTTCACTTGTTTCACCTTACTATGAAGAGCTTCGAAGCGTTCTTAAAGTCAGCATTTGTTAAAGCTTCATTTGAACTGTCTTCATCCGCTTGTATTTTGTCCTTATTGACCCTATAAGTTGGGCTGCTTTAGCGTTGGCTTGGGCATCTAACCAGTCATTGTTAGCTTTTATATATTCTGCGCTTTTCATTGCCTTTTGCATAGCCGCGTCGTTATTTTTACTTTCTTGTGCTAAGTTTTCATACTGTACGGTTTGGTTTTGCAACTGTAAAAGTTTTTCTGCCTTTACATTTGCTTCAACTTCTTTTTTATACTCATCGCTATCCATATATGTCTTCAGGGCTTTTTGTTTTATCTCTTCATCTTTCAGTACTTTATATTGAGTAGTATGGTTTTCAAATTTATGACATCTTGTTCCATTTTTGCTACTTCTGCTGCTTTTTCTGACACTTTTTTCGCATATTCCCTCTGTACTTAGTTCTTTCAGTTGTTCTTCTTTCTTCTTTTTCTCTACGTTTAACTCATTGAGTTTCTTTGTGTGTCTGTCATATTCTAGTTTCTTTTCGTTTTCACTTATTTGCTTCTGTATGTCTATGTTTGACTTTTTGACATCTGTTATTTGATTTTTGAGTGAACTCAAATTCATTTGACTTTGAGGGTTATAGCTGTTCCGTCTGCAGCTCCACCATAGCCTGCCATTTTCGCTAAAAGTGCCGCTCTTAAACCTCCACTCTGTGCACCAATGACTCGGTTTAAAAGCATAGGATTGCTTGACATTTGTTGCAACATAGTGGGGTCATTCACATTTGTTGTTGCAACTGTTGTTGTGGTGTCAGTTTTACTATTGGATGTTTCAATGCTCTCTTCCTCTTACGTATATTCTTACGTAGCTTACGTGGCATTTTAAGTGAAGTTAAAAAGCGGTTTTGACAGATGTTTATATGACACTTTTTGTTCAGCACAAAAAACTACTCGGTCAAAGTGTTGTCAGTTTTGTAAAACGGTCCTATCTCATTCTATAAGGGGAAGGCTTCTCAAAGTATACTTCCTTGGAACGCCTGTAACTTTTCCTGTAGCGACGATAGACCCTTACTTGTCCGGACAAAGTTATACTATTTTGAGTGCTCTACAAAAAAGTCAACGCGACGACTCTCAAAAACCGTTGTGTAAAAAGTTTTACCGTTGGACAAAAAAGTATATATAGAAAACAAAAAACGTTTATAGTTCATTCAATATTTGAGATGGAACGGTTTTCCAACGGTAACTATTAAATAAAATAAAAAAATAGAGGGGGTTACCGTTGACGAAAACGGTTTATTTTAAACTTTTCTATGAGTAGTCCAAAAAAAAACAGTTTATTTTTGTCTAATGGCATTCGCTAGCGTGTTCGCTCCAAATTCACCTGAAGAAATTGCTTGCAAACTTTCAGCACCCACAGGTTTAGAGCCTCAACATCAAACTGCAGCATCTACACATTCTCCAAGCAGAACAGACAATTCGCTCAATCCAAAGCCACTTTCACTACCAAAAACAATACCAAACGAGCTCCGTATTACAAAGAACCACAGCAACGCTGAACTACGCAAAATACTACTCAGATTGTCTGAAGAATACTTCAATTCAAAGCCAGAAGAAAGAGTTCCTGCAACTTTTAACAAAGAATATTGTGAACAACTCAACAAAGTTCTTGCAGACTTTACCAAACTACAAAAAGAAACACCTGACCCATTCGAATTAGGTGACACAATTGTCAACTATTTTCCAACAATAACAAAGATAATGGTTGACAGAACTATATGTCAGCTTATTGAAAGTCTTCCACCCAAAGCTGCAAAACAAGTCGAACAGTTTTGGGTCGAATTCAAATTAAAGAGTTACGGATATCAGGATGACGAAGAAGAACGTGAGTACGGACAAGAAACAGCAAAATGGCAATGTCTTAGCTCACTCAACCCCAAGTTCAAACCATTATTTTACTCAGACAACAACACAATTCAAGTACGCAAAATTGCTATTCATTTCGTTAACCAAGCAGAAGACATTGAAGAAGGAGACTCTATCTCAGTTTATGTTTGCTACTGCAAGTTTTTCAAGGACGAATTTGGAGGACCAATTCTCATGCATGTCTTCAAGCCACGTCAGCAACTCTACGTTGAAACTGAAATAACACTCATGCATGGAATGTATCTCAAGTTTGAAAGCCAATTGGAAAACACATACAACATTTGGCTTTCATACATTCAGTTCGATACACCAGATGACTTTGATGTTGAAGAAGAAGACTCTACTCAAGAAGATGAACCACAAGACTCAATCCAAGAAGAGTCCTCCGAATTCACACCAGAAGACTAACAATTTTCCGAATAAAAACCTCATTTTTTACTAAACATCTTCGGGGCTAGAAGGGGCGCAGCCCCTGGAAGCCCCACTACCTTTTTTTTTTTTTTTTTTTTTTTTTTTTTTTTTTTAAACCCATTACTGAAATAAAAATTTTTTCATCTGTTGATGAATTTAATGACTATTATGCTAATAATAAAAAATTATTTGAAGAATTGACAACATGTAAATTGAATAAAATGTTTAAAGTTGATGGATTCAAAATTTCAAAAATAAAAGGAGTGGTTAGTTTGAAATCTATTCCTCAATCAAGAATCACCTCATTAATGAAAATTGATGATTTAACAAAAAGAATAGAAATTATTGAAGAGCGAATAAATCAAATTATTGATTTCATAAATCATGACTCGTTGAGCCCGGGTCCTTAAAGTCCAAGGTACAAAGTGCCCAGGACTTAAAGTCCATCACTGAGTTCAAGGTTATATTCATCAATTATTTCATTATTAAATGCAACTTCTACTAGTTTATTTATTTTTTCAATACGATCATTTGAAAGTCTATCGTTTAATTTTTTCTGAAGTTTTTCATTTTCTAGTTCTGAAACTTTATTTGGATGATATTTAAACCCGTTAAATTCTTTTTCCTCAGTTTTGATCATTAATTTACAAAGAACTTTTGTGGTTAGAATTCGTTTAAACTATTTATCATTAATATTTGTTATAAATTCAATATCTGGAATTAATTCCCAAATTTTTGCATTTTCAATTAATTTATTATCAAATGCAAAAGCAATAGGTTTAATATTAAACTTACCTTTATAATATAAACATCTACTTGTTTAACATTTTCAAGAATTGGTGAAAGAACATCCATTAATTGATTGACAGTTACGAATCTTGATCCACTCATTTTCTTACGAAATAAAAAAATAAATTATTCAAAAAATGTAAGACATGAATTTTCAAAGTTTATTTTTTATTCATGAAAATAATTATTTCTAATTTCTTTTACTCTCTCGTACATACTAGATTTAAAGAATTCAGAACTTTTACCATAATCTCCTAAATGTTTTCTTATCCCTAACGTGTGCCAGTTATTATATGAAACTGAATAAACTTTATCTTTATCTTTACACCTTTCATCACTTCCAATATATTTATATTTCAATTTTGATTTAGCATTTTCATATTCATTAACGTTTAATAATTCACAGTCTTCCTTTTTAAATAAATGTTTTATGTATTCAGGATTTAATACTCTACGTTTATATGCTCCTAACTTAGTTCTAAAGGTTTTTCTACAAAATTTAGGAATTCCATCCTCTTTAATGTCATCAATGATTTCCATTTCATTATTTTCAATTTCTTCTTCCCGTTTATGAGGTCTTTGATTATGACTCCATTGATTCCATGAAATTAAATATTCTTTATCATTATATTTATACCTCATTAGCTTATTTTGGCTTTCATATTCATTTAATAATTCACAATCTTCATTTTTAAATTGAAGTTTAACCCATTCAGGATTTAAATGATGTTTAATTAATCGCGGAATATCTGACATCATCTATATATAGCTTCTTTTATAAAAGATAAAAAAATAAATTATTTTAAAATTAATGTTAATTTTTTAATGATTTATAAATAAATATATTTTAATGCATCGTCTATAAAAAAAAAAAAAAAAAAAAAAAGGTAGTGGGGCTTCCAGGGGCTGCGCCCCTTCTAGCCCCGAAGATGTTTAGTAAAAAATGAGGTTTTTATTCGGAAAATTGTTAGTCTTCTGGTGTGAATTCGGAGGACTCTTCTTGGATTGAGTCTTGTGGTTCATCTTCTTGAGTAGAGTCTTCTTCTTCAACATCAAAGTCATCTGGTGTATCGAACTGAATGTATGAAAGCCAAATGTTGTATGTGTTTTCCAATTGGCTTTCAAACTTGAGATACATTCCATGCATGAGTGTTATTTCAGTTTCAACGTAGAGTTGCTGACGTGGCTTGAAGACATGCATGAGAATTGGTCCTCCAAATTCGTCCTTGAAAAACTTGCAGTAGCAAACATAAACTGAGATAGAGTCTCCTTCTTCAATGTCTTCTGCTTGGTTAACGAAATGAATAGCAATTTTGCGTACTTGAATTGTGTTGTTGTCTGAGTAAAATAATGGTTTGAACTTGGGGTTGAGTGAGCTAAGACATTGCCATTTTGCTGTTTCTTGTCCGTACTCACGTTCTTCTTCGTCATCCTGATATCCGTAACTCTTTAATTTGAATTCGACCCAAAACTGTTCGACTTGTTTTGCAGCTTTGGGTGGAAGACTTTCAATAAGCTGACATATAGTTCTGTCAACCATTATCTTTGTTATTGTTGGAAAATAGTTGACAATTGTGTCACCTAATTCGAATGGGTCAGGTGTTTCTTTTTGTAGTTTGGTAAAGTCTGCAAGAACTTTGTTGAGTTGTTCACAATATTCTTTGTTAAAAGTTGCAGGAACTCTTTCTTCTGGCTTTGAATTGAAGTATTCTTCAGACAATCTGAGTAGTATTTTGCGTAGTTCAGCGTTGCTGTGGTTCTTTGTAATACGGAGCTCGTTTGGTATTGTTTTTGGTAGTGAAAGTGGCTTTGGATTGAGCGAATTGTCTGTTCTGCTTGGAGAATGTGTAGATGCTGCAGTTTGATGTTGAGGCTCTAAACCTGTGGGTGCTGAAAGTTTGCAAGCAATTTCTTCAGGTGAATTTGGAGCGAACACGCTAGCGAATGCCATTAGACAAAAATAAACTGTTTTTTTTTTTGGACTACTCATAGAAAAGTTTAAAATAAACCGTTTTCGTCAACGGTAACCCCCTCTATTTTTTTATTTTATTTAATAGTTACCGTTGGAAAACCGTTCCATCTCAAATATTGAATGAACTATAAACGTTTTTTGTTTTCTATATATACTTTTTTGTCCAACGGTAAAACTTTTTACACAACGGTTTTTGAGAGTCGTCGCTGTTGACTTTTTTGTAGAACACTCAAAATAGTATAACTTTGTCCGGACAAGTAAGGGTCTATCGTCGCTACAGGAAAAGTTACAGGCGTTCCAAGGAAGTATACTTTGAGAAGCCTTTTCCCTTATAGAATGAGATAGGACCGTTATTTTACAAAACTGACAACACTTTGACCGAGTAGTTTTTGTGCTGAACAAAAAGTGTCATATAAACATCTGTCGAAAACCGCTTTTTTAACTTCACTTAAAATGCCACGTAAGCTACGTAAGAATATACGTAAGAGGAAGAGAGCATTGAAACATCCAATAGTAAAACTGACACCACAACAACAGTTGCAACAACAAATGCTGAATGACCCCACTATGTTGCAACAAATGTCAAGCAATCCTATGCTTTTAAACCGAGTCATTGGTGCACAGAGTGGAGGTTTAAGAGCGGCACTTTTAGCGAAAATGGCAGGCTATGGTGGAGCTGCAGACGGAACAGCTTATAACCCTCAAAGTCAAATGAATTTGAGTTCACTCAAAAATCAAATAACAGATGTCAAAAAGTCAAACATAGACATACAGAAGCAAATAAGTGAAAACGAAAAGAAACTAGAATATGACAGACACACAAAGAAACTCAATGAGTTAAACGTAGAGAAAAAGAAGAAAGAAGAACAACTGAAAGAACTAAGTACAGAGGAATATGCGAAAAAAGTGTCAGAAAAAGCAGCAGAAGTAGCAAAAATGGAACAAGATGTCATAAATTTGAAAAACCATACTACTCGATATAAAGTACTGAAAGATGAAGAGATAAAACAAAAAGCCCTGAAGACATATATGGATAGCGATGAGTATAAAAAAGAAGTTGAAGCAAATGTAAAGGCAGAAAAACTTTTACAGTTGCAAAACCAAACCGTACAGTATGAAAACTTAGCACAAGAAAGTAAAAATAACGACGCGGCTATGCAAAAGGCAATGAAAAGCGCAGAATATATAAAAGCTAACAATGACTGGTTAGATGCCCAAGCCAACGCTAAAGCAGCCCAACTCATAGGGTCAATAAGGACAAAAATACAAGCGGATGAAGACAGTTCAAATGAAGCTTTAACGAATGCTGACTTTAAGAACGCCTTCGAAGCTCTTCATAGTAAGGTGAAACAAGTGAACGACTTCTCATCTGGAAAGAAACTGAAGTCTGAAGGTTTCGACAAAGAGTTAAGAGAAGTAGCACAAAATATGACGAAAATAACAGATGCAGCAACGAGACAGGCAGTTCAAAGTGCCTATGACGCCGTTAGAGCAACTGTTGTGAAAAGTCAAGAAAAAGAGTTACAACAGACCAAAACAGACCTAGTAAATGCTTTCTTAAGAACGAAAAGTCAGGTAGGACATTACGCTGCAGATGGAACATATGTGCCAGCTAGTGGAACTTATATACCACCAAACCCTCCAAGAGAAGCACCTGCACCAGGACTACCTAAAACATTTACATCGTCACATGGACACAGACACAGGCATGCACCAAAACCAACACAACAACCAACACAACAACCAACAGTTCAAAATCCAGCACCACAACAACAACCAACACAACAACCAGCACAACAACAACCACAAACAGAGCAAGGACATAAAAGAAGTAGAGAACAAGGAAACCAAGAATTCTTAAAAATGCTTAAAGAAGAGTGTGGTTTCCCAGATACTGTTGACTTTAGTGACAGATATAAAGAAGCTATTGGAAAGTTCAAGGATGGAAATACTGACCCGAACCTATTTAGCTTTATGGCTCAGCACCAAAACGGATATAATCTCAAACCTGGAAAATACAAGCTCGCTAAGGGATATGATTTAATAGCATATCATCCAAATGACATGGATGAATTTACTCCGAGATATTTGATGTCAGAGCTAAATGACAATTCAACTTTCGTCATGAAACGCGTAAAAAATAGAGACGGAACGAAAGAACAAAAGCTTATGAATGCGGATGACGTAGATAGGGAAATTGTTAAAAACGGTCTCGGAATATATGAAATGCCAGCAGATGAGGTACAAGAAACTCCACAGGAAGAAATAGTTCAGATACAACCAGACATGGAAGAAATAGTTCAGCAACAACAGCTAGAAGAGCCTGAAGGAAACGAACAAGTCACTCCTTTGGAAACTAACTTCACAGAACTAGATGAAGATTTGGAACAGCCGAAAAATCTTGACCCTCAACAAGAGCATGAGGTGAATATGGAATCTTTCCAAGAGTCTAAGAAAGATTCGGCTGACATAGTAGAAGAATATCGAAAAATGTTTGCCGACATACAAAAGACTCCAACACCAGATGAAAAATATTCAGCATAGAATGAAAGTACTGAAAGAAAATGTACACAAATACAACAACCCTTTTTACTTACGAGCATTTAACGTTCAATCTTCGGATGAACTCGGTGAAGATAAAAGGTTAAATTTCAAGAAAACATATAGAAATGAAACATTGTTTAAAGTTCATTCAGAACCTAACCAAGATGGAAACAAACCTACTTTTGTTTCTGCAGACGATGGAACTACAATGAGATGGGGTCATAAAGCTAACCGGATAGGTGGTTCATAAACTTACAACCACAATTCCAAGAAGTTGTAGACGCAATGGAAGTGAATGGTGAACCAGATATAGCTGGTATTTTCAGCGCGGCTTTAATGCCATTGAAAGATATGAAACATGCAGATATTTTGGACCAGTATGAAATGAACATGGCTGATGGAAATATAACACCTGACGTTCTAGAACATTTATCTCAAAGAACTACACAGAACCATAGAGATGGTATATTTGGTGAAGAGTTTAGAAAGAAAGTTAGGGAGAGAGAAGGAAGAGAACCTATTGTACATGACCTTGCAAACGAAAGTTTACAAAATGTCATAAAAACTTACTTTGCAGACAATGAACCGAGAAGGGATGAATATTTAAGAAAACTCAAATGGACAGTACCAAATGAAATGTTAGTATTGAAAAACATGTTCCTTGACAAAATAAAACCAACTACAGAAATAAACGACGCAAGACTGAAAGATTGGGTAGAAGCTTTCCCATTCACAAAAGATATAGTTGGTAACATGGAAAGAAAACCAGAATGGCTACAAAAACATATATTTGGAAACGAGCATATTCCATATGGACAGGCACTGTTTGAAGAGCTTGAACCGGAAACTCAGGAAAGAGTCATGCAAACAATACGCGAAGACTCAAATACAGACTATGACAAACTCTTTCTAGGATATAGGTTACCTGAGATGGGCGACCAGAGCCAAAAGGCAAAAAGGACATGGGAAATTTGCAACATACTAGATGAACATAATGCAAAGATGCAACAACTTCAAGCAGAGGGCAATGAAGGAAAAAGAAGAGTTAAAAACTCAGTCAGGAAGAAAGTAAAGCTTGGTCCACGTGGGTTCTATTATGACATATAAATCCAACTATTCTATATTTTTACTCATATGAAATGTACGCCGCTCAGAATATAACGCCAACAGTTTTGGATGCTATGAATGGAAATGTTTCCGAATGGTATAACGAATGCGACAATGCCATTAGAAGGTCAGAAATAGTTCCTGGAACTTACGAATATACAACTGCTGTTTCTTATGGAAACGTAGGTGAGTTTGGAGAAGGTTCTTCAACAACAGTAGATATTGCTTGCGACAGGTTTCATATAATTTCTATTGACAACTCTTTCTTATACGTGGAACAAGACATTGAAATAAAACCTTCTGCCAAGTTGTCTGACAAGAAAGGTTGCAATGGAATTTTCTATGTCGGATACCAATATGCTCCAGAAGTTTTCATGGGATATAAGATATATTCTAACTCTGACTTAGTTCAAACAGTAACATGGGCAAACTATGAATGGTTCGCTTTGAGAAACTCAGTACAACCACAAGCTAGAGAACAAACAGACCAGTATGCAACCATTGAGAAAATAAGAAGACTTGACCCTAACGTTCCAGGAGTTTATGTTAACCTTTCTGGACAAACTGCAGCAGCAGTAACCAAAGTAAAATTGAAACTTAGAGTTCCTTTGTCATCTTTCCTCATCTTCAGGTTTTTAAGATACTTGCCAAACTGGGCAGGAAAAATTTCTATTGAACTTACTCCAAGCAAAAATAACTTAGTCATTGCACCAACACAAGACCCATTCACTCTTACAGACGTAAAGGGACAAATCAAACGTCATTCGCCGATTTTGCAAAGACAAAGTTGACTTAGACTTTGGTTTCTCAAACCTCAACACTGAAGTAAACTACTATTTCAATGCTGCTGGAACTGCTTGGGACCCAGTTAAGTTCACATGCGAAAAATTTGAATGCAAGAGAATAGAAAGCAGACTTGCAGTCTATATGTTGGACCCAGATATTTCAAATGCTTTAGCTGCCAAATATATTGCAGTTCCACTTATGTTCCCTATACACCAAATATCTGTCAAAGACTTTGCAGGTGAAGTTGGAAACCAAAGTGCTGACCCAGGTGCAAGAACAGATATTGCTTAACAACTGCAATGAAACATGCAGATACTATGTTTGTACTGTTCAGACGAACTATAAATGACTATTCTTGCTTCTACAACCCTGGTATTAAATACCATATAAACATAGATGGCAAATACTATCCAAGAGAAGAATATTCTACAGTTGAGGATATGAGGTCATACAACTTGACATTAGATGCTATGAACTTTAACAACAACTTCACAACAACCATTAACCCTGAAATGCAAAGTTCTATTATGCCATATGTGAAAGTATGGACCATACAGGAGCTCAAAAAACTCAATATACAAATGGAGACCGTTCAAACTTTTGGCTTGGCATTCCATTTGCTGACTCAGAAGACTTTATGGGTGGTATTTCAACTGTTGGTACAGTTCAAATACAATATACTGGTGACAGAGACGGTCCAATGAATTGAAAGCAAAGAAGTTTACAAAACCAATAGCACTTTTCACGGAAGATGCTCTTTTGAAGATTCGTTCGATGAAACCTGCTGGGGCTCCTCAGATTGGCATAACGACAGCTTCCATCGAGCAGATTTTGGCAGCAGGTCAGTAAGTTGTTCTTGAACTGACTTCTCTCCGTCAAATATTGACAGTACGCCAGTTTTGATATAATATTGTATTATAAACTTACCTTTAGAAATATCGGTCAGTTTTGTTGTTATATTTTTGTCTGCTTCAAGAACTTTCACCATTTCGGTTATACCAACTTTCTTTGCTTTATGAAAATATTTTGGTTCAGCAAAGACTGCTATTCTATAACATTTTCCATTGTTTGTGTAAAGAACTATTCTGTCAATGTATTTGTATTGTTTGTGTGTGTAAACTTTGTTTTGCTTCAATTCGAAGAGATACTCAAATACGTCCATCTTTTTATTCTAAGTAAAATGTCATTTCCGAAAAATAGAAGCGTAAGTGTTTCAAAAGGTTTAATGGCGGTGGCAGATGTGAAGTTAAATTCACCAACTCAAACAAACAGTCAAAGTGTTGTTGTCAATGTCAAAGAAAGAGATGTTGAAGTGGGGAAACCATACGAAGACGAAGATGGTATAACAATAGTTCCTGTAAAAGAACAACCAACATACCCTGAAGTTAGCAGAGACTTAAGTTCTGTTGCAGATATTCGAAACGACTACCAACAACTTAAAGACAAACTTAAAACTCAGGAGAAGATTTGTCAAGCTTTGGGTATAATGTTAAACTTGGTCGAACACAACCCTGTAAAAGTGAACTCATATGTCATCGCACCTCATGAAGTTTTGAAAGAACTATTGAAACTTTTGACAGAGGCAGACGATATAAACATCAAAGAAATAGAACCCGACATTAGTTGCTGTGGTGTTTCATATAATGTCATTGACAAGATATACGTTATGAAAGGAGGTGAAACGTTGAACTTAAAATATAGTTTCCCAGACGTCATAAAAATATTTGACGACCACAACATTTCATTAAAATTTACTTGCTAAGTAAATGGCAGAAAGACAATGGTTTATACTATTACGACTAAAAACCCTGAGTCATATAATTCTATAACAACAAACTTACAAAGTCCTCAAGGACGATATTGTAAACTAACCTTAAACACAATGACGACTAAAGCCTGTTTTGCTCTTTTGACACCAGAAGACTTTGTTGTTGTGAATGGTAAAAAATACTCTTTGAAGATACTTACTCAGATATACCACCAACAGGTTTTGTTGACTTATTTAATACTTTAAGGACGGATGTAACATGTGCTGCAACTAGAGCAGGTTTCATTATGTTTGGATGTCCGACTGAGTTTAGTATAAACGATATGAGCTATAATACAAAACTTATATCTGGTTTTTACTACCAACAGTTTCCTATAACAGGAAAAGGTGTCATACAAGGAATGTCTATTCCATTGACTTTAAGTACACCTATTTTATATATTGTTTCAAACTTAGGTTCAAAGTGTTATTCGAATGTCGACAGAAACTACTATGACCAAAAGATACTCATGCGTATAAACAACACTTTCTCTGCTGGTTTGCCTATTGTTCATTCGAATGCAGATTTTCAGCTTTAGTGAAACTCAAACACTTTAGCAATAAACTTAACCTTAGTTGACGCAAACTTTGTTCCTGTAAAACTTTTATGTCCTATGTATTTGTCAATGACGGCAGAAAGTTTCGAATTGGAAGATGCAACTGGTGAAAGTATTGTATTACAAGAACAACTTCAACAACAAATAGCTCAAGAACAACAAATGCAACAAATGGAACAAATGCAACAACAAAGTCAAGAATAAAAAAATATTTTTTTTTATTTTTATAAAAATGTACAGAATAGACGTTTCAGATTTTTATGACTTCCAAGCGTTCAGAAATATGTGTCCATTTAGAGACTATAACAAAGCAGTCGAGAATTTGAAACGTTTAGTCATTTATGTCGACTCTGCCCCAGAATGTTATGTCATGAAAGAATGGGATGTTGTCTTTAACAAACCAAGAGCAACAATAGTTTCAGAACAAGAATGTAGACAGAAACTTAAGAAAATAAAAGTCGTACAAGTTGGCATGAAGATGTTAGATGCTTGGGATATCTTATTGTCAAAGTTAGAAGATTTTTCAGTTCGTGGTATAAAGTTCTATACACCTTCTCCAAACTTCTATTCTATCTTCACTGGATATAAATACGAACAAGTAGAATGGAAAGAAAATATTATAGAAGCTTGGTTAGACCATGTCAAAGAAATTATATGCAATGGAAACGAAAGAGTCTATGAGTATATCTTATGTTGGTTTGCAAACATCTTACAACATCCAAGTGCTAAAAATGAAACTGCTCTCATTATAATTGGAAAACAAGGAACAGGTAAGAACACTTTCTTTACAGATATTTATGCAAACTGTTAGAGGGCTATTCGAACCCGAATATGACAAACTTAGAAAACATCTGCGGTAAATTTAACTCTTCAATAGAGAATATGAAACTTATAGTATGTAACGAACTTCAAAGTATAGATACAACAAAAGTTTTGAACTCAGATGCTTTGAAGAGTCTTATAACAGACAAAGTTGGAGTTGTTGAAAGAAAATATAAAGACCAAAGAGTTTGTGAAAATGTTGCAAACTTCATTATGGTTTCAAACAATGCTGTTCCGATGAAGTTAGAAAGTTCTGACAGAAGATATGTAGTTGTCAGAACGTCAGATTCTCATATGCAAGATACAGAATATTTTGACGACTTAGCAGAAACTTTGACACCTGACTTTTACAACCACTTGTTCTCATATTTCATGACATTAGATATTTCTAAGTTCAATCCAAGACAAATTCCACATACCGAAGAGAGACAAACATTGTTAGAAGCAAACAAGAGTGTATATGAACTGTTCATAGATGAACTAACTTTGAGTGTTTAGATGAAAGGTCATTGTACGATGCATATAAACAATATTGTCAAGAATATGGTTATATGACAGCTTCTAAACGAACATTCTTGGCAAATGTCAAAAATCTTTTAGATGTTCAGAACGGCGTATATACAAAGAAAAATTTTTCTGAGTAAATTTTAAAAAAATATTTTTTTATCCGATAGAAAAGATGACGAAATATATTTCAGTAAATAAGTACATGACAGAAGTCAAAGAAGAACTAGACCCATTCGCTTATTTGAATGTTTACTTCTACCATTTTGAAAAGTCTACATTTGACAAAGTTTGGAACATCGAACCAGTTAAGTTTGCTATTGTGACTAAAAATGGTGCGAAATTTGAAGACTTAGACATAGAAGGTTTGTTAGCAGTCAAAGAAAATTTTGACAGAAGGTTCTCAAACCTTAAAGAAGGCAAAGCATACAAACTTGTTATACCTTATGAACCAAAGAAAGCAGACGACTATGAATATTATGAGTCTAAGATAGTTGAAGTTCAAGGTAAATTGGGTAAAAAGA